GGTAAGGAATATCATCGTATTATTGGTATGACTAGTAGACCCTCTTCATGATAGTATAGTGTAATGCATGTTAGTGTGGTATAAGGTTGAAATAATTAGCTGAATTACATGTATATTAAATTTATTTTATTTGCTAAGTTATGCTTTTCATGTACATGTACATGTAGATGATTCCGGACGGTGGGGGCGTGGTGGTTTATTCTTGGCTATATCAACACGCTCAATGCAACCAGAGACCTACTATAAGAAAGCAAGTAAAATGAGAGGTACTGTGTAATGACAGTCAGTTACGTTGTGACACTGATGTAATGATTATAGATTTGTCCTTGAGTGATGTGCATGTAATACCAGTTGATGATATCATGAGTAGAGATCAAGGCAGAGATATGGTATGTATACTTGTACATGTACATATAGTGTGTAGTCATTCACTCATTATACAGTTTTTATTGTTCATGTACTACAGTATTGTTAATTTATGTCTTCATTAATTTTAGTTGGCACTAATTGTTGCCCAGTCAAGGGATTCTAGTGGTAGCCTGTCAGGGATTAAGTTACCTTCTCTCAATATTGGCTTACAAAGAATCAGTAGCCTAGCATTAAGACTAAATGGTAATATCTACTAATTGTATTATCTTCCTATTTCTTTCTCACTCTCTGTTTTTTCTCTCTTTCCATGTCCCATTCATTTTCTCTTTTTCTTTATGTCTTCTTTCTTTTTCTCTTCCTAGCATCAGTTCATTTACCAAGGATAGGTCATTCTACTCCTCATTTCAATTGGTATGGTACTGAGAGACTAATCAGAAAGCATCTCTCGAGCAAAGGAATACCAACCTTCATGTATCTCAAAAATGCACAAACCACTTACTATAAACTATATTGTACATGTACATGTAGGGAAGCTCCTCACAATATTTTTCTCCTTAACATTATTCAACAGTTATTATTTTCCACGTCATGGGCACCACAAAACTATACCAAGAGTTAGCCCTGAACTTCGTATTAAAGGTTAGAGATACCTTCATCAATTTGTCATTATTACAATCTTTTAGTAGTGGATCCATTACCGGATACATTTACTAATATCAGTGTATGTTTCTATGGAATTGATGAGAGTACCAAACTCTCTCTATCCCGTTGTATAATAGCATATCCTAATTCTACATGTATAGATTTAATGTTATATTAATAATAATGTATAATCCTTAACTTATCCATACTTATAATGGTGATGTAGAGGAGGCCCCCACTGATAAAACAACACACATTATTGTTCCTGGCTTGGAGGGAAACAAGTTGCCATGGAATACACACAAGGCCACAGTAGTCTCTTTGAAATGGTTGGAAGATAGTTTACATGAAGGACATCTTTTACAAACTGAGAAATATTTAATACACCATCTCGTATAATACTGTAGGTATTTTTAATTGTGCATGCCACTAAATTTAGAATGTTTAACAAATTCAAATTTTATAATAATTACATGTAGCTATCTATGACATTTTGAAGTTTGGATTAGATAAATTAATGGAGTCAGCGGAAAGGTGAATCATTACCGTGATAGTAAATGAAAATTAAAAATTATAATTATTAATTATTAATAATTAATACTTTTAAATCTTAGTAAATGTAATTAAAATTATTAATTAGTGAATATTTACTATTGGTAGTGGTTTGTGTGGTTGTTGACTGTTGATCAATGTTTTCTTTTGATCTTCAAGAGTATTCACCAGAAGGGGAGGAGAGTATCCAGCTTTAATCTCAATATATTCAAGTGATGGATGGATGAAGATAGTTTCATATAAATGTTGTACTAGTTTTATGCAGTTAGGTTGAGGTGTCTGCCAATAATTAATACCTTCACACTCTATCCTCAGTAGTCTGATGGTTGTATGTGACTGTAACATGTTAGTAACAGCAGGTAGTACCTGTTCATAAAACAATGATGTCATTATGTGTTTCTTCTCTTTCCAACTACAGCTACTGTATGACTGATCTGATTTGAATTCCACTTTAAGTTCTGTGAGATTGTTCTTTTGAGAGATGACATCAGTAAAAGTTCTTATTTCTTCATTCAGTGGAATGGATACACTCAACTGCTGTAGACTGGTGTTGTGTCTGAGACCAGTTGTTAGGAAGGACAGAAATGAACTGGGAATGGCAGTTACTTTATAGCCAACATTATTAATCTCAAGGTATTTCAGTGTTTGCTTGTGTGTTAGCATGTTTTGTAGACTAGTACCCATACTGTAGTCTCGCAGTGCCAGACTGCTAGTATATACCTTCTCCTCCTTTATCTCCACACTCAGAGCTTTAAGTGTAGTATTGGTTTGTAGAACAGTAAATAGTTCAATAGCACTCTCAGCTGTGTCTAAGGGTAGAATAAGTGTATGTAGACTGGGATGAGAGTGAAATAGAATATATGGTAGTGGGTATACTTCAGGTAGTGTCAGACAGTGTAATCCTTTGATATGTGGAAAGAGTGATATCATCAGTTTACTACCTATCTCTAAAGCAGTCATTGCTGTGTTCACCTCTACTATATTCAGTGATGATGGTAGAATGTTATGATCTATGTCTAAAGAAAAAGCTTGTAATTTTTTATCTTTTAGTAACTGCTCTATTATTCCACAAGAAATAGGTACAGGAGGATCAAGAGGAGCATTAACAACCAGGGAAAATGATGCTAGTTTTTTATTTCTTGTTATTCCTCTAATAATACTGCTGGTCAAGTAACTTATTATTTTCTCCTTATCGAAGTACATAATCTTCATTTCTTGTACTGTTAAATTTACTTCTATACATTTCTCAACTTCAGCACACTTTGTGTAGTATGATCTATCAAAATCTGTGTGTGCAAAACCTGGAGAAAACATTCTTAAGTGCAGTATTTTCAGTTGAGGAAGTTTGAGTAACTGTAACAATACAAGGCAGGGATTATACTGACCTAATTCTAATACACAGTAGCACTCCTTAACATTGTATAGAAATGATGATTGTAATAATGTGTGTAGTAATTTATCTGTGCCAGTGGTGTCATTAAAAAACCCTACCTCCAGTCTCTTACACTGGGTCTGTAGTGAATTATTAGTTAGTCCAGCAGTGAAGACTGATAGTGGCTGGTTAGATAAATTACCTAGGTGCAAGTGATTCCATGTTGTGCTGGAATTGTTTATACAATAACCGAGACACAACCAGTCAAACAATGATAGATCTACTCTATCCAAACACAGTGAGTGGTTGCTGATGGATTGTGCTAATATTTGACATAATGTTGCATTCTGTGATTCATACAGGAGTTGAAGAAGAAGAATGGGAAAATTGTCAAAATCATCAGATCTGATATGGTTAAACTCCTGTACTTTAATATAAGGATTCTTGTAAAAGTAGGAGAGATGACAAGTCTCAAATCCAAACAATGGTTCCCTCTTACACTGTAAGTCAAGTTGTTGTTTATTAAAATACTGTTGATAGCTCTCATGTTTAAGGTGAGTTAGACCTGCCACAAACCTCAGACACATTCGAAAGTGATCATCATAAAAGTGATCCTTAAACACTTTCTCTGTCTTCTCATGCTTAGCTATCCACCATGCAGCTAGAAATTCCTGTATATTCAAGTGAAGGAACTGATACTTCTTCTCATCATATTCTGTGAATGTTGTCATCAATCCAAGATAATCTTCCTTGACTGCCTCACTCAGTGACTGTAGTTGATGGAAAGAGAATATCATTCTTGTATTAGCCAAGTTAGTATAAGCTAATTGACACATCTCTTGTAAAGGTTTAGCTAATTGTGATGGTAATGAAGAAAGACTACATAAATTATATGGGTCAATATCATGTCTTGGTTTTATTTCAACATGTCTTCTGATAGTTTGTAGGATAAAGATCTCATACAGTTGAGTGAGTGTTGTTGGTAAGTGTCCTCCTTCCTTACGATAAGCTAAGATGACCATGGAACAGACTAGTGGTACATAACATAATGATTGGACATCATTTCGTACTTTAAGATTATTAATGAGTTTCACTGCTAGTTGTGAGTCCTTACTGCTTTGAATAGTTGTGAAATGTGATTTATACTGATTCTGCAAAGGATGTGTATTTTCATCAATGAGTTCTTTTGCCAGTTTTGTATCTGTTTGAAGTGTTTGTATAATTACTGTTGATATTTCTTTTTTAGAAAACCCAATGACTTGAACGTGTCTACTGAGAGTATCTATTTTCAAAAGTGAAGAGGAGGCATAGCTACGAGAGGTAACAATTACTGAACATTGGTCTAACTTCTCTTTACAAATGATACTAGCAGCTAATGAAGACTGTCTGAGTTGTTCACTTAGTTCATCCCAACCATCAAAAATTATCAGTAATCCTTCTCCATCCCTGTCTTCAAACCATTTAGGTACATTTTTATATCTATTAAGTTTATGCACAAACAGGTCAGTTAGCGTAGTAGCTGTAGCTATTTTTCTATTCCTTAAAGGACAGTAAAGTACCAAATCATACTGTTGGTGTACAAGTGTTCCATTAGACCACATATTTAACAGTTTACGACAGAGTGTGGTCTTGCCAATACCAGGAGGACCGTCTATTACTACTCTAAGAGATGGAGAGCTAACTGTGGGTTTGAGGACATCTGCAACACGTATTTCCTCGTTTCCAGTTAGTTTAACTGTTTTATCAACTTGTCCTCTTAGCAGATGCCAAGCTGATTCTTTTTGTTTGCTGGAGTCTTGTTTTTCTACTAGTGCTAGCCTTCCAAACAAATCTTTTCCGATTCTTGGTGGCCAGCCCATAGCTACAATGGGCTGGTGTTTGTAGTGTTGTCTCATATTGTCAGCATATCCTTGAACATCATCAGGTATAGAACTAATGGGTTTAGCTACATCAGACTGATCTATTGATCCAGATACATAAAACAATGTATACACATTAAATAATTTTATTACCTCTTATACTATTTGATTCAGAACTGATATTATCAGGTATAGCCTGACCTAATGTATTGAGATTGATAATGTACACACACACACACACACACTCACCTAACTGGTGTAATACAGAGGTAGCAATATCTGTTAGTGTACAATGTTGTTGGTTTATTAATACATTACATATATCAATAAGATACTGCTCTGGATTAAAAGAGGATTCCAACTGTTTTTCAATGACATTCATAAGGTTGGCAGCTTTAGTATAATTATCAACTGCTTGTACAAGCATTTCCTGTTTAGTTTGTTGTGGTATCAGTTCTTTAGCGTACAGTGCATCAGTTACTTTCTGAAGACTATTAGTAATAGCATCAACAAGTGTAGCATAATTCATCCTTAATATAGCACTAGGAGTGTTACCTGCAGCTAGTACTGTATCAGTTAATGAGTGTTGTATTATATTTACCTAATGTAGTACTAGTAATAGGTTTATTAATTACAGAAACTGATGATGATACAGTAGATACTACTGGTACAGTACTAGTAGGAGCATCAGTATCACCTATTATACATTTAACATTATTATTAATATATAAATGCATGATCATACCTCCTGTACATTGATGTACTTGTAATTGATCATTAATAGTTTGTAATAAATTGATCTCTTCTCTTTTAGTCAATGCATTGAGTACATCTCTCCATGTTGCTGTGGGATTCTTTTTAAGCCATTTAGAAAAGAGACCCAGTTTACTTTCTTTAGCATCAATTGCAAAGTCTTGAATTGTTGTAATATCTTGTTGTGTTATTCCAGGTAAGACAAGACCAAATGATTGCCAGTCAACAAGTGGTTCAAGCCATTGAAGTAATAGGAAAATATCAGGTTGATCATCAATCATAGGACCAGGATTGAGTTCAACATCTCCTGATAAAAGGAGGAGAAGTAAAACCAAATAGTAGATCAGGTCAGAGCTACTGCCAATAGTAGCTATAAACAAGACTAATGACTGGAGGCAGTGGATCATAACAGTAGAAGTAATACCTATTGTAAATACACTGTATGATAATATTATATACTGTTAGTTTGTTTACCAGTTGGGGAAATAAAATTGAGCTTCACATATCTTAATAAAGATAAAAGAAGCAAAACAAAAAGAGACAGAGCTACTGGCAGTTTAGATGTCTTCTCTCGTGATGTAGTACTGCCTGACTTGCTGTCTACTGCAGCTTTGAATGAGTGAGAGTGGCAGCCATTAGCTGGTCTACTGGAGGCAGCTTGACAGTAGTTCCACACTCCAATACTTGATCTCCATTGAGAGACATCAATCATCTTGTACTCTATAAGTATGAAGGACAAAGTCAAAATTAGGTAATTTATGGTAGTTGTTTCAGTGATCACTTACAATTAACTGGTCTACAATAATAGAAAGCAGGACTTTATGAAGAGAAAACTCTTTCTGCTAAAACCACAAGCTAGAGGAAGTCCAGGGCTGTTATAATAACATTCATGTGATCTATGACACTACTGCTAAAATTATAGTAATATTTTGTCAATGATGATGCTCCTTTTCTTCACACTACAGACCAGGGATGGGGCAAGCACTTGAGTGCTTGTGCTTAAAAGCGCTCTAAGCACTTTTTAAAATGCTTGCAATGTTTTCAAGCACTTAATCTCATTAAAGCACAAATGCTTGTGCTTGTGCTTCAGCACTTTCCTTTGATAGTGCTTATAAGTAGCACAAAGAGTACATAAAATCTCGGTTATTTTAATCTAACATGTTAGCATCAGCACCCATGTTTGGTTGTCAGTCTGGCGCTGTGAAACTATACTTATGCTGTGTGGAAGTTCGAAGTGATTTTGACTAAAAAGGCCAATTTTTACAATCGATAATTTCTGAAAAATACCCTGTAGACCTATTATAGCCCATGCTTTTATCAAAAAAACAATGGCGAAAGTCTCTAGTCCGAGCTCTAGTCTGTTAGATCTAGCATTGATATTGGATCTAGGCATAGATAATAGAGTAAATGTCATTTACTCTAATATCTATGATCTAGGTCCTTGCCTCCAGCCCCACCCATTTTCTGCAATTATTCTAGCCTACGATCAATGGAGTACATTTTGAGACAGCTTAATAAACTCACCAAAACCAAAACTACTGGTGATCACTTCTCTATATCACAGGAATACTGTCAGGAACTGGGTCTGAAGAATGTTGCTCTCCGCTCTCACCAACTGGAAGGTCTTAAGTGGTTATCAGAGTGTCATGAGAGAGGGCAGCATGGCTGTATCTTAGGGGATGAAATGGGACTAGGGAAAACACTTCAGGTAGGAATTTCAATCAATGAAATGATGATAATAATATTGCTTAAAATACTGGTTATCCGTTTGGTTGCTGTGCACATAAAACAGCACATTTTGTAAGTCTATTGTCAGGCAACATTTATCGA